CCGCCGCCGTAGGCGCCGCCGCCGCGTAGCCGCCGCCGCCGCCGTAGCCGTCATCGGCCTGCCGCCGCGGCGGCCGCCCGGCAGCCACGTCGAGCGTCTGAGGAGGGGGCAGGGGGAGGGGGGCAGCTGTGTCGGCTGTTTGTGTGGGCGCTGATGGCAAGGGATTCTCCACTCCCGGCACCACAGGGAGCAAGCAAGCTTCCTGTGATGCTCAGGCAGGAGCAAAGCAGCACAACCACAGCACAGCACAGCACAGCACAGCATGGACAGCGTGGGGCGCCGCTCGCTTGCGCCGGCGCACCCCTCGGAACGCGGGCGGTACAGCCCACCTGTATCTGCGACTTCATGCTGAACTCCAGGCGGTACTGCTGCACGCGCTGGCAGTACTCCCGCCACCCCCGCTCCGTCTGGCCAAAGTTGAAAAAGTCGGAAGGGTCGATGCCGGGCAGGCTGCGGCGGCGGGCAGGGGGGCGTGGGCAGGGGAGGGGGCTGGGGGAGCGGGTTGGCGTGCTGCTATGCTGCTGCTTGGTGTTTTTTTGTTTGACCCAGGAGGAGGGAGGGAGGGACACACACAGCGAGGCGGTGAGGAGGGCAGGAAGCGGGTCGGCGGGAGCGAAGCGTGGCAGGCAGGGGAGAAGTGGTGCGCGGCGGTGAGCGGGTGGCGGCCGGCAGCGCGGGACCGCGTGGATAAGAGCGCGGCAGGCAGCGGCGGCGGCACGGGGCAGGCAGAAGCAGGCGGCAGCAGGTGTGGGGCAGGCGGCAGGAGGCGGCGGCAGGTGTGGGGCAGGCAGCAGGCGGCGGCAGCAGGCATGGGGCAGGCAGCAGGCAGCAGGCGGCGCACCGCCAGGGCGCGTCCACCACAGCATCCAGATCCAGGCTGAAGATCTCGCCGTGCCCCAGCGCCAGGAACTCCTTGTACTCCTCGGGGCTGACCTGCGGTACAGGATGCGGTACAGTAGCGGTACCGCAGCGGTACAGATGCGGTACGGGTGGCACGGAGCGCAGGCGACAGCATGGCACAGGCTGGTGTCGCCTCAGGGAGGCGGCGGCGGCCGTGGTGGCGCTGCCTGCCGCCGCCGGCGCTGCAGGCGCTGCAGGGGCCTGGTGTTGTTGTGCCCCTGGCGACCTAGTTCGGGAGTTCAGGGCAGCAGCGCCTCACCCGCGTCTGGCCGGGCAGCTTGACCGGCAGGCCCGGCTGCCACTCGGAAGGGAAGACGGCTTGAGAGACATCCATGGCTGCGAGGCGGCAGCAGCGGCAGGGTGGGCTGGTTGGGGCGCACCCTTGCTTGCACAAAAACGCCGCAGGCGAGTGCGGCAGCATCCAGCAGCAAGCAGGCAGGCAGGCAGGCAAGCGGCGGGTGGGCAGGCAGGCAGGCGGGTGGGCAGGCAGGCAGGCGGGCGGCCACACCTGGGCGCTGCTGCTGTGAGGGACGGAAGGGCGGGCGCATGCCGGGGGCCGCCAGCGCTGCGGCCGCTGCCGCGGGCTGCGAGGGCGCGCCGCCGGGCGCCGCGGGGGGCCCGCCGCCGCCGCTGGCGGCGAGCCCCGGGATGGCGGCGGGCTGGTAGCCGCCTGTGCTGAGGCCCAGGCCGGGGATGGCGCTGCGGGGGATGCCGCCGATGGCATGCTGCGAGCCAAAGCCGCCGCCGGGGCCGCCGCCGCGCGGGCCGCCGCCTCCTGGGTGCCCCCCCGGCGCCGCCGCATCGCTAATGTCCATGTGCTGGCCGGGAGCGGCGCCCACGGCCTGCGCGGCGGCCGCGGCGGCGGGCGCCGCCGCCCTGCCGCGTGTACTGATACCGGTGCGCCGAGGGCTCCACCCGCCGTGGCATTCTCGTCAAGGGTGATCATCAGATCGTCGTCGTCCTCCTCTTCCGCCTGCTGCTGCTGAGCTGCTGCCGCTGGTGCCGTTGCCGCCGCTTGCGGCGCCGCCGCCGTCAGCCCCGGCAGCGCAGCCCCGGCAGGCGGCTGGGCCGCCTGCGGCGCGTCGAGGGGCGTGCCTGCACCCGCACCAGGTGCTGCAGACAGGCAGAGGGAGCGCAGGGTGGGTGATGGGTGACCCGCGACGCCAGTGCAGACGCCCCGCAGCGAACCAGGCGTGTCATCACCTGGCTGCTGCTCCTCTGCTGCTACATCGGGAGCCGCCTCGCCGTAAAGCTGCTGAAACAAGTCATCTCCCTCTTCTACCGCCGCTGCAGGCCCCGCGGCGCTGCCCTGCTGCTGCTGATCCGATTGCGGGGCGGGCTGCTCGGCCTCGGGGAGCTCTCCATACAGCTCCTCAAAGTCGGCCATGCTGGTGATGCCCACCGGCCTGGCCCCTGCACCCTCTACAGAAAGCGATCGCGGCAAATTGACAAGGGGACGCCTGGAGGGCTAGGTCCCCCTTGCTGACGGGGCAGCGGCGCCACCTGGAGCCTGCGGCGTTCGCAACCTTGCTGCGGCTAAGCAGCAGCAGCAGCCGGGAGGTCAGGTGTAGGCGACGTGCAACAGATGGAGGGCGACTTCACATGTGCAGCAGCACATGCGGCATGTGCTGGATTCGAGAGCTGGCGTGGGGAACGGCGACTGTGGCGGTGGTTGCGCGCTGGCAATGCTCAATGCAGACGAGCGGGCAGTTTGACCCTTCAGGATGGCTTGCTTGCTGAATGGCTGCGGGACAGGCGGTGCCGACCATGCGATGGGCAAAACACCACAGAGGAGGGGCTGCAGCTGCAGCCGACCGCTGTTGGCGGCTGGGATGCGTAAGCGGGCACGTGTGCTGGAGACTCTCCCGCATGCATGACTGTGAACATCTGTCGTGTTGCGCGTGCCTGTGCTTCCTGATCATATGAATGCTGCATCAAAGGAGGACCGGGGGAAGATTCACTGCCCATCAAGCGGGTGAAGGTTGGTACCGCAGCAGCGGCGGCGGCCTTGCCCCCCGTGGCACCTAGATCAAAAGTCATGTGCAGGGGATTGTATCATACTTCGATGCCCGTCAGGTAAAAGCAGCGTGCTTTGTTCGAACCAGGGCGCGGCACACGCCTGCCTGCCCACCCGCACACGCCACAAGCTGAGCCTGATCAAGGCCTCCAGACAGGAGGTTCCACATCCCCGTTCTTGCTCCATCTTAATTGAGGCCCGCCCTGCTCGTTCCGCCACAAACCACAAAGCAGTCAATGATGGCGCGCTCCGCTGCCGTCCTCCTTGCCGCCTGCCTGGTCGCTCTCAGCGGCTACGCCTCTGCGGATACCACAGGCGCCTCCCTCAACAGCTACGGCTACACCTTCGGCAGCGATATCACAGGCAGGCGGCCGCCCCCGCCGGAGCGGTGCCACATGCATGCATGCCGCGTGTCACGCCGCGTCCCGCGCCAGCCTCCCTTCACCTCCCGCGCTTCCCCCGCTCCACACCGTGCCTTCAGGCTACCTGGACATCTCCCAGGACGTGTGCGACATCACCACCGCCATCGACGCTGCCGACTTTGCCACCGCCGCCGCCATCTACACCGTCGGCCAGAACTCGGTCCGCAGCGACGGCACCAAGCGCACGCTCGCGGGTGCGCGCGTCGGGCCGGCGGGCTGGGGCCAGTGGCAGCAGAGGGCTGGATGCAGGGGCAGGGGCCAGCCCCTGCCTGCACACATGCACGCGGGGCTAAACACTGCAAGCAGCCCCTCATCTCCTGGCCGCCGCCGCCTCACCTTGCCCCCCATCCTCACCCCACCCTTGCCCGCCTCCCCCTCCGCTGCCGCAGCCTGGGCGGAGGGTGGCGAGGATGACGAGCCTCACTGGGGCCTCTACGCCCGCTACTTCAACGATTCCGCCTGGCTCAACACCTTCATCACCGCCGGCCTGGAGGGCACCGCCCCCTGGACCGTGGAGGACGCCCGCAAGCAGGTGGGCTGGGGCAGGAGGCAGGGAGCACGGGCAGCGCTGGAACCGCCCTGCGCCCGGCCCCGCTTGCCGCCCCGCTCATGGCCGCTGCCCTGCTCACAAACACCACCGCCTGCTCCTGAGCACCGCCTGCCTGTTGGCTTTCGCTTGACCTCCTTTATGGCTGCCCCCCAACCTCTGCCGCAGATTGTGAAGAAGGGCATCCAGTCCAACCTGCAGGCCGCCTACATGTTCCACGAGGTGGATGAGGCGGCGGAGGCGGTGGAGGCGGGAGAGATCGACCCGCTGGAGGGTGAGCCAGGCCCTCCTGCAGGAAGCGGCAGCCGCCGGGCCGGGCTGGGGCCGGCCTGCCAGCGGGCCGGGCCGGGCTGGGCTGGCTGGGCGAGGAAAAGCCGCCTCGCTTGCCCCTGCCCCGGGTCGTCGCGCGGCGGCAGTGCCGACGGCGCCGCTTGGCCCTTCTGCCCTTGGCCCACGCGTGTTTGCTGCCCACCGCTGCCGCCCCGCAGGCGCGCCGCACGTGGTGGACGAGGGCGCCGCCATCTACTTTGGCACGAAGTGCGCTGGCGGCAGCATCGCCGACGTGGCCATCAAGCGCGCCAAGGCCTTTGGCACCATGGTGGCCGACGCGAGCGGCGCCTGCGTCGCGTAAGTCCTTGACTCAACTTTGACTTGACTTTCACTCGACTTGACTTGACTTGCCTAAGAGAGCGGATTGGGAGCCAGCTGGTCGGCTGGCCGGCGGGTCGGCTTGGGGACCGCCCTGGCGCAGCTTGCGGACTCGCCGGGCGCCACAGCGCCCAGCCATGCCTCCCCTGGGTGCACTCCAGGCACAGCCCTGTCCGCCGCTCACTGCCCCCCGCCTGTGCCCTCTGCCCCCTACATCCCCTCCCCTGGCAGGCCCACTAATGTGGCGGTGGCCGAGGCATTCAAGGGCCTGCAGGCGGCGGCCGTGGCGGGCGACGCCGCGGCCTATGAGGCTGCCACCGCCGCGCTGGAGAAGCAGATCGTCACCATCTTCACGCAGGTGCACCCGCCGCCGGGCAGCCCTTGCCCGCCTGCCTGGGCCATACTGGACTGCCCAGCACACTGGGCTGCCTGCCGCTGGGCTGCCCAGCCCCCGCCGCAGCTTGCCGGGCCCCCCTTGGCTGTCTGCCTTGCACTTTGGGAGGCACCTCACCGCCTGCCTGCCCACCTCAGCGCCCGCCTGCCCCACCTCGTCTCCCTACCGCCCACCCAAACAGCCTGCCTCACCTCACCTCACCTCACCTCACCTCTCCTCCTACCTCCCCTCTCCTCCCCTCCTGCCTCGCCTCCCCA